TTTACATCCTTATTATTTTGTTAGGATTGATATAACTAGTGTTTTTACACTCAACAGGCAGTTTTCGCAAAAACTTCGACTGCTGCTAGAGAGAGCATGGTGAGAGGAAGAAAAATGGTATATGGTCGGATGAAGATGATGAAGAAGGCAACAAAATATGGCGCAAGTGAAGCAAATATGAAAATTTCAGGTGCAGAAAAGGTGGCTACCGAAGATCAAGAAGGGGCTGGATTTGTTGCCTTCAATGCAGATTACAAAGGACCTAGGCATCACCCACCTAAGAATAACTAACCATATAATTAAGAAAAAATAGAGGCTTATCATCATATAATGTAGTTCTAATCTTAATTTACCGAATTGCCTTCTAAGAAAAGAACTTTTTGTTGCTGCATGACACTCTTATTTCACTCAGTTCACCTTCTATTGTAATTCTACATTTTCAAAATATATATTTCCACGTGTGGTGCTGCTGATCAAATAGTACTAGAGAAAATCTTTCACCCAAAAAGGATTTTCATCTTTTTCTTGTCACGGTTGTCCAGATGTATCCCGCAAGTATACAGATTGTTAACAAGTAGTAAAGAGAGGACACGAGCCCAATTATAGATTCCACGAGTAATAAGTATTTAGTCTTGTTTTCAATAAACTCCATCTCTAATAGAATGTAAAAACACAACAATTAGGTGAGGTGTGGTGATATTAACAACCTAAGATTAGCTAATTAATCTAATTTAACTAAGTAGGAAGTGTTATGAGTACTTGATTAACAGGATTCCTCTCACAATGAATGTTATCATATGCTATCTTCCCTATTTCTTGCGTCAATAAGAATCATACATAAATTCAATTAGTGGACAATTAATTAAAAGCATTAAGAGTATAACAAACATTTAACACCAAACTATGTCAAAATCATATAATTAATATCAAAATATAGCAGCTTATGGGATGAGTTGGAGGCATGGGTTTATATGGCAGCTTATTATTGGCTAAGTGGAAGAGTGCAAGGTTTGTTCAACTTCTCGATTCATGTCAACCATTGATATTAAATATCAACAGTTGAGATGAAGTCTTTGTTTGATAATCGACTCTCTATTTGTCGTGTAGTCTAGTTAGACCATTCCCATTCTCTTATCTCTCTCTTCGTAGTCCTGATTTTTCTTTGGTTATTCTACAATCTTATTTTCAATTTTCTTTTGAGTTTGTCTACTGGCTAATTTGTTAGCAGTGGTGTTCTGTGTGTAGAGTGATTTACGATTTAAAACCTCTTGAGTGCACAGTAAAATCCTCTCGTTGGTTTGATTTTTGGGGTTCACGTGTTTCTGTGGTGGTTTCTTGTGATCTTAGGGAGACTTACTGTCATTCCTGTTGTGAAAAAGATGACGATAAAAGTAAAAGATAAACACACGGATTTGCAGAGGAATTTTTATTTCTTGAGGAATCACAATAC